ATCTGGGGTATACAGATATTGCCTTCTTTTACTATTGTGGATGAGTCCCTTTCTTTTCCTTATTTGCAAAATAGAATTTATCTTTGACAATTTGTCTCTTGTTTATGAAAAAAAATTGGCTAATTAGCGACATTGTCAACTCTCTTACACAATTATTTCAACCATTTCTTTTAATCGCCTTACTTATAACGGCGGTTGGGTCGTTTTAGTTGAACACCTCATGGCATAATAATCTGTATTAAACCTGTACGATAAAAGAGAACCGCTGTATTATTCACGTCAATATCTCAAAAGAATTTTTTTTTAGTGACAACGAAAAAGAACACAATATCTTAAATAAAGAAGTGATGGATGAGTCATCATAGGCTATTGCTTGATGATGTGTGATATGATATAAATATTCGGAGGAGTCGAGAGAAAACACATCAAGTTTAGAATAGATATGGTCTTAAGTCTGCTACGCATCACCGTTCCATTGTCGTCTAGTCCGGTTAGGATACCTGGCTTTCACCCAGGCGACCCGGGTTCAAATCCCGGCAATGGAAAAATTCTATTTTTTTTTCCCCGCTCCTATTTTAAACTTTTAAACACCATCGATTTAACATTTTTAAAACAGAAAAAATGTAATTGCAGATGATCCCTGTAACAGCTGAGATACAGTTTATCCGCAACAAAGGAGGAGACTGTGTTGAGGACAAAGACTCCATACCATTTACAGAATCCTACACAATGGAGTTGGTTCGTACTTCGTAGCCGCATCGCAATCAACCAGAACAAGGAAAACAAACCAGCAAATGGAAGCCATTATCAGAACTCCAAAATGTGTTCACAAAATAATCTACGAGTCCCCCTACCATGATTCGCATATGGAGTAAGATCTCGGTCTAATTCAGGTAAATATCCGAAAAAAATAACATGCAAAACATATCCACCTCAAAATCGGACAGAACCGAGATTCTAATACAACCAGACCTTCGATACAAGGTGCACAAAAATTGGTCCCACAAAGCTTGTTCAAATTGCTTCTTTCAGATGAAAGGTCCTCAGCAAAGATTTAGCTCTATCATGCGCATTCAACTCAACCAACATCGTCTTCAATCTCCGAACAAGCCCTACGGTCTCCTCCACGCTCACCCCTGACGCCTGCCTCTTCTCCAACTTCCGACCTAGTTTATCCACGCAATCAACCAAAGGCTGCAACTTCTTGCTGTGATTTACTGTGACCTCAGGCCCATACCAAACCCCTGACATTGATGCAACAATCCTCTCCATTCTAGTTATAGCATCATGGACATTCGACATTATGCTTTCCATATGAGGGAGTAACTTCCCTTTTAAGAGCTCTTCAAGAGCAAGCTTCTCTAGAACTGGCAGTGACAGTACATCTTTCCACAGACAAATATTCCTCAGGAGCCGAACTGATGTCCCAAATCGATAGGCAGCTAATTGAGCAGCACCAGGCACAATTCTCGTCACGACGGAGCTCCACACCGGAACACTGAGGTTGGTAATGGCCTGCGTGAGCCGAGAGCAAACAACTGATAGTAGCTCTTGGAGGGCCTTACTCGAGACTGGAACATATGTGACCACTAAATTAGTGGCAAATACAGCATTCTCCGTTCTTTTTGTGCTGAACATATCCCAACAGTGTAAGATTTCATGGTGCAAGATGGGGAGAGCTACCTTTTCTACTAGCTCTGGGATAAGATTCGCATCGGCATCTTCAGGATCAAAATCTTCATCTCTTCCTGGTAACCCATACTCAAAAAGAAGCTTGTACCATTTCATTTCTTCGAAATCGGTCATATTATAAAGAGGGTCCCATTTCAGAAGCTCCAATCTCACATATGGAGAGAAGACAGCAGGTGCACTCAAAGACATGTAGGCATCTCGGTAGCTTGAGAAGTAATGCTTCTTCCATCTCTCAAACCTTTCTTTAACAACAGAAAGGTTTGAGTACTCATCGGCCGCGTCGCTAAAGATTTGTTCAGCGGTTTGAAGCAATTCATCCCTTGTAGAAGTGTAAGCAGTGCTCTCACTGTCACTCTCATCAGTGGTAACCTCTCCTTCTAACTGCTTGCCAATAGAAGTCATTCTTCTAGAATCTGTCCGCGCTCTTCTTCGCTTCCTTGCCTCAGCTCGCCGTGAGAAATCCATACGTTTCTGTAGATTAACATCCCTTCCAAACTCATCCAATTGAACCGGCAAATTCGAACTCTCTCTCACTGCAGCTAAAGCAGCGTGTGCTGCATTTGTGGCAGCAGATACATAAGCAGGCCCAGAGCCTTTGCTGAGAACCGACATGGCTGCACAAACAATCGTCCAAATCTCGGGATCTAAGACCAAGCTTAGATCCGGAGTATAACCACGTGTAGATCTCAGATCTGTTCTTCCTCTCCCTCGAACACCTGCCTTTTGTGACGTTGATGCTCGCCGAGATTCAGATCTGAATGTCCAAGTCTTCAAGTCTTCAAAACTCTAAGCTTGATCTTCAATTCGGCAGAGTTTCGGCTCTTGAAAGTTCGACCTTTGAAAATGAACACCTCTAGGCCTATTTATAGGCTCTCAAGACTGTGCCCCAACAAAGCCTTGTCCTTCAAGAAATCACATGTCACAGAAATGAAGTCTCGGAGCTGTTGCATGAAAATGTACTTGTCCCCGGCTTCTTGAAGGGACTTCTCCAATGTGGTGATATCAGAAAGAGCCTCTGCTAAGTTTTCATCTGTCTTCGCCACGGAATCCATTGTTCGCTTGTGAGAGTCCTTCAGCCTCATGACGCTCTCCTTGAGAGCTCGTGTAGCAATCTCGGCCTGTTGAGATATCGACATTGTCTGAGCGAAAGGCGTACTTCCAGGCACCAACGGCTGAGGACCAACAGCAGGATATAAATTCTGTGGCGGTGGCATCTGAGGCTGAACACTACTAACCCCTCTATGGACAGATACTTCCTCAATGATTTCAATCCTTTTCCCAAGCCCCTTTCGAAATTGCTCCTCTTCCCATTTCCTCTCCTCTTCATCCTCTTCATCCTCTGCTTCAATCTCTCCAACAACCCTAGACTCAACAATTGGAGCCCTCTCCTCAAACTCTTCGAAAACACCCTTTTTCGATTTCTCATCCCCTTTATCACCAAACAAAGCAATCCTACCTCTAAATTCATGATCCTCCTCATCACTAGACCCACCATCCGATGCCCGAGTAGCCATCACTCCTCCGCTGTCAAGTGATATAAAATCCGCTGCCGGCCCACGACTCTGCCGGAGCCTCTCCCTCCGAGCTTTAATGGCAGCTATATCAGCCTGGCTCGGTATCGAAGACAAACCTTTTCCTTTACCATCAATACCCAATTTCGCAAACTTATCTTCCTCTGTCTCATCTGATTCCTCCTCCACCTCTTCCTTTCTCGGCTTAGGGGCCGGATCAATAGGAGATGATGTGGGCTTCACGAGGCCTTTAAGGACGATAACGGGTTCGGATTTCGACGGGCTATCGGGTTTCTGAGGCCTCGGCAGGCTGCCGAGAGGCCGAGCGTTCTTCTGGAGCTCCAACAACCTCTCCTTTGTATACTCTCCGGCCTGCGGCTGGACATTAAAAGGGATCGGAGGCGTGGGGCCCGATGAAGGAGCTCGATTCTTCGAAGAGGCTGAGGCTTATGGATGGAACCGCCGGCTGGCGGGGCTGCAGGGTGCGAGGATGGCCGCGCGGCGGAGGGGCGGCGGCGGACGAGGGCCTGAGATTGGACGCCCGCTCGTCTATCATCCTCGTCGTCGGCGAAGCTGAGGCGAGAGGGTTTGGGTTTGGGGGTGGGTGTGGGCTTGGGTTTCGATGCGGGGGTTAGGGTTTGGGACTTAGGCTTTGCTGTGGTTGTGGAGAGGGTTTTGTCGTCGTCGACGGTTTCGTCGGCGTCGATTCGCCGGCGGAAGTTCTTCGATCGATTGCTGCTCATCTGGAGTAACCCTAATTTGACCGATTTCGATTTGAAAGGGGGAAGAAAAAAGGGGGAAAAAATCAAATATTGCTCGAGACCCCAAAAAAGTTCTTGCTTCGTCCTTGTAATTGGGTATCAAATTTTTCATTTCAGATTTAGATCCGAATCCGCGTACGGATAGCGAAGAAGAGGAGCCTGCTATACAAAGGGGCCCGACTTAGGCCCAATAGAGGCCTTGGAATCGGACCATATGGAACTTGGGTGGCTGTATTTTCGAGTCCTTTTCAAACTCAAAAACAAAGTCTATTTATCACTACGAGGAGGATTTTCTTTTTTTTCTATTCTCCTTTCCTTTTTCAATTGTACGTATTATCTTCCTGAGGAGCCTATAATTATTCAAGAACTCAATTCAAGCAACGACTCGTCCTCCACCCAATATGCAAAATCCTAGAGTTCTGATACCAATTGTTACGCGTCGTGCGGAAACGTGCTCGACAACTAAACTAGTCGGTAAGCAATGAGAGAAGAGAACCAAAAACAAACACGAGTGCAATTCACCAAAATACGACACAAATCAAACCAAACACAAAGATTTACGTGGTTCGGCACTTGCCTACGTCCACGGGGAGAGGATGGGGAAATTTCACTATATGGAGGAGAAATACAACGGGTTACAACTCACAAATTCACTCAAATATAACCCTAACCAAAGCTCTCAACTCCCTCACAATATCTCCCTCTCAAAGTGCTCAAAAGACTCAATAATCTCTGATTTAAAACGCTCTCTTAAACCCTAAGAAACGATGTTGCTATTTATGTCAAACAACAATCCAAAACAGTCTGGGAAACTGAATCTGGCCCGTAACCGCTTTCCAGTCGACCGCACATGTGCCACCGGTCGATCGGACAGAAGTTCAATTTCTCACACTGTAATATGCACGTTTTCGGTCGACCGGCCATATCCGTTCGGTCGACCGACCAGAGACGGTTTCAAATCCTATAATTCAACAATTTGTCGGTCGACCGGGCCTATGTCGTCGGTCGACCGACCCGAGGGATTTCCTGTACTCATGTTTTTGCACGATTTTCTCAAATCCTTCGCCATTTTCTACAAAATTTTCCTTTCTTATAGATTTCAAGATGCTTGCAGACAAATCTCAAAAAAAAAAAACATATGTTCTTCATGGGCTTGACTAGTCATCTTCAACAAATAAGGAGGCAATCCATCTTCTTTCAAAATCCAAATTAATGCTGTTTAAAATTTTGGAACGAGGCTTTGAAGTGATCAGTTTCTCATGCTCAGAAGTTAGAAGTGTGTAGGGGATTAGGTAAGTACTACTTTACCTATTGGTTTTAAAGTCTCTTTATTACATATTTTTGATGCATTATTCGCTTTCTAAACAGGAATTAGTTGGTGGAGAAAGGATCGGTGAGAGAATCGTTGAAGAGGTGAATGTGACATATTTTTTAATAGAAACTAGTAACCACCAGGAACTTTTCAACAATGCATCGATTAATTCACAACGCATGAGCACGATATCTCTCTGAATATGGGACTAATAAAATTGAATTGCTGCTGTCGTCTTTAATGAACAATTTGTTTTCCTTTTAGGACGATCGAAGTCAATGGTGCGAACGTACGATTTAAGAGCGACCTCCACGTCTGCTCTTGGACAGGTTCATTCCAAGAGATCCATAGCAAACCATACCGATGAGTGATGGCTAATGCTTGATAGGATAAAGGCAGATATGTCATCTTGTAGTCAATTAGCTGCTGTTCGGCAACGGGTTAAATGAGGGGTTAAAAAGACTTAACCCCCTCTTAATCTGTCAGACACAAAAAAATCTATACAATGTTTAAAGTGATTTAACCTTTCATAATTTGTCAAACGCAAAAAATACAGAAAGATAAAGCTAACCCTTTTAGAGGGATTAAAGTGCATTAACCCTTCAAAATGAAGGGTTTACTGATACTCCTATTTAGAAGGATTAAGAGTTAATCACTTAGGCCCCGTTTGGCAAAGGGTTAATGAAGAGGGATTAAAGAGAAGGATTAATATACTTAGCCCATTTGATAATCCGAATGACTAAATTATTAACCCGTTAAATAAGTTTTATTTTAGCCCTGATGATCAGTTTTAGTGTTTGGGAATAATTATGATTTTGACTATTTTCTTTATAATTAGAAGGGTTAACTCTTATTCCATTTAAATAGGAGTATTAGTAAACCCCTCATTTTGAGGGGTTAACTCATTTTAACCCCTCTAGAGGGGTTAACTTAACCCTTCTATATTTTTTATGTTTGGCAAATTATGGAGGATTAACTCACTTTAACCCTTATATAGATTTGTTGTGTTTGGCAGGTTAAGAAGGGGTTAAGTCTTTTTAACCCCTCACTTAACCCTTTGCCAAACGGTACCTTAGAAAATAGTCATAATTTTTGTTATTCCCAAACGCTAAAACTGAGCACAATGACTAAAATAAAACTTACGCAAGGGATTAATAATTTAGTCCTTCGGGTTACTGAATGGGCTAACTACATTAATCTTTCTTTTTAATATACTTAGCTCATTCGATAATCTGAAGGACTAAATTATTAACACGTTAAATAAGTTTTATTTTAGCTCTTGTGATCAGTTTTAGTGTTTGAGAATAACAATGATTTTGACTATTTTCTTTATAATTAGAAGGGTTAACTCTTAATCATTCTAAATACAATGATTTTGACTATTTTCTTTATAATTAGAAGGGTTAACTCTTAATCATTCTAAATAGGAGTATTAGCAAACCCCTCATTTTGAGGGGTTAAATTATTTTAATCCCTCTAGAGGGGTTAGCTTAACCCTTCTATATTTTTTACATTTGGAAAATTATGAAGGGTTAACTCACTTTAACCCTTATATAGATTTTTTGTGTTTGGCGAGTTAAGAAGGGGTTAAGTCTCCTTAACCCCTCACTTAACCATTTGCCAAACGGTACTAATATGATTAATCCAGATATGTGCCATGTACACGTGTAAGTACGGGCGCAAACGGTTTGGATATGGTACTTATCATATCCGTATCCGCTTACTAATCATGGATATATATATGAATATACCTAGATAAGAAAATCTGATACCCATATCCGCTAAAATCATATACGAATATAGATATGTATGCAGATATATATGTGGATATACATGCAAATAGATAAGCGGTATGAAAAGCACATGTTCTTATGATAGAAGAGAATTCATTAATATGTTCTTTATATCTTTAAAGCTAAGACTTGATCTCTTGATCATCAAATTAACCTAAAACTCATTAATCTAAGATTAAAACAAGCGCAACTATATGACTGGCATATATTCGGATAATTTCTGATACGAATGCATATATCTTATCACATATCCATAGTTGTAATCATATCCTATTGATATAGATATTTAGTAATTGTTATGGTGTTCACTCACCCAAGATACAATATTCACAAAATGATACGATAAGAGTCTTAGTCAACTCCCAAGAGTTCTAGGCACTTCAACTCCTAAATCGAATATCAAGACCTTGGCTTTTTATCAAGATAAGCCCAAGGCACAGCGACTCCTTAGTCAAGTATCAAGCCCTCAGCTCTTTATTAAGGTAAGCTCAAGGCACCACATATGATCGAATCCTCCAGTACAACTCGACCATCATGGCTAGATTACAAGACCTTGGTAGCTTACCATAGTATAAACCCAAGGCACAATTACAGAGATCTCCGCACCGGCTCATCAAACCGGCACCCTGGTGTCGACACAAGAGGCGATACTAGCCGATACGAGAGATCCTGACATGCCAAATGGGTCGACATCTTTATATTGACCCGAAAGACGGTTATTAAGCTGAGATAAGATGATGTCTCACTCAATCGGATAGGACGATACTCCTAAGTCGACATGAAAGGCGATGCTGGTCGACCCTTTTATCAAGGACGGTCCTATTTAAGGCAGTCGGCCACTCACTGGGTATTTCTCAGAGACGATTTAAGGACATTCCCTGCTGTCGCCTAAGTTGAGGACTCGACCCTGGTCTCAAGCCTCTCCCCCCGAGCAAATGTCGACATCTCAGTCCACCTCGAACAAGTTTTATCCAGATATTGGCCTGACGAAAGTCTCCATGACTTGTCAGTTCAATCACTTCCCGAAAAATATGGAGATACATTCTCCCATAATGAAGTGACTTCCTCTCCAGTCGTCAGTCGACACCTGTAAAGTAAGGGACGACTCAACATGCTCGCGTGCCTTCTGCCATGCTCACAAGTCACTTCCCGGATATCGCGGAGACGCCATCTCCCATGCTGAAATAACTTCCCTTCCAGTCGCTAGCCGACTCTTGTAAAGAGAGGAATGACTCATCTTCCAGCTCACACTTTGTCACCGCCATTCTGCATGGCCGAAATGACCAATCTACTACGAACATCCACGCTATATATGGATGTTATTCACCACCAGAGCCAAAAAAGGGAGACAACCCAGAGAAGCCAAATAAGGCAAGAATCTAACCTAACATACAACTCTCATAGTAATTTAAATCTTCCTCCTGATCCAGTCTGGGAGAGGATAGTCTCTAATGCACATAGCATAAGAACACATAGTTCTAAACTCCACTCAAGCTCATGTTTATTAACTGACTTGATCGACGGAGAAACCACGGGGGAACCGGTCCCCGCCCTCTCACGAGTTATTTCTGTCTGTGCAGCACGGACATCAGACCCTCATTCAAAAACTAGGCGTAAAACTGGAGAAGTGAACGGACCCTCCATCATCCTTCATCACCCCGCAACAATGCTCTTCTGGATTAATTGGTTGTTTGATATCGAGCATCAACAATAACCATATTTGTATCTTAACGAATACAAATATCAATATATCCGCATATATGGATATTTGTTTTGCAACCTTAGTAACATCAATATATAAGTCAATATGTATATCTAAAAATTTTAGATAATAAAAATTGTCAAACTAACGGAATAGAGAATTTGGGAAGGCCTGTAACCTACTTTAATTAGGGTAATATGCAATGCGGCGCATATTTTATCACAAGAATCTTATCAGAGCCACTCATATGTAAGTGGGGTGATTTACACTACTAATATGATAGTTAAAATTACTAAACTAACATTCTAATCCTAGTTAATGGTATAGATCACCCCTCTCTTTAAAATGTTTCTGATAGAATCTTTATTCTAGTACAGAGAGATTTCCAAATGACCTTTATTTCCACTAAAGACTAGTCAGCTCTTTTTTTTTTTTTTTGAACGGAAGAAACAAGGAGAAGTTCTCTGTTCATATATGTATATTAATCAAAATATAAGGATAATTACAAAAGTACCAAAAACCAAGGAAAAAAAGAACCAAGAGGAGATTTGACTGGTGAGGAGCGGACATTGTCGTCACCCGCCAAGCCAAATCTAAATTGCTTCCTTTCATCCCTGATAACAAAGGCCATTCGTGGCCAAAGAAGAGAAAAAAAAAAGATTCAACTGATAGTTATTACAAAAAGCTAATACTACTGACTGTCAGCTCTTATTATTTAAATATACTTCTTTACCCTAGTTTCGCTGAAGTCAGTAATGAATCCCACGACCACCTGTTCATTAAATGTGGTTACTCCTCATTGGTATGGTCTTCTCTTCTTCCCCAAGTTCCATCAACAGCTTGGCCACAAAATTTGGAGGATATGATATCTTCCAATTTCAGTTCATCTTGTGGTCAAGATCTTTCTATTATCTGGAAGGTTTTACTCTCGTGTTTCTGCTGGTGCATATGGAACTGTCATAACAATTTCATCTTTAATGGCATTGAAGCTCTTCCATCCCACATCGCTGCTAACGTGGCAAGATTTGTTTTATTTTGGGCAGGCTCCTCTGCTAGCAGATCAGGTCTCAAGCTCCACAAGGCGGCTATCAACTTGGGCATGGAAAACATTGCCCAAACTCATAATGTCGCAGAGGTGGCTGACAACTTCTCAGCAGCAACTTGATACCCAGAGCTGCAGTTCCAACCTATCTTTTGTAGGATTTTTTGGTATGTGTTCCAAACGTTAGTTGTATCTGTGGTCTTCCAACCTAGCTTTTGTTGGATATTCTGGTAGGTGTTCTAAGTGTTAGTAGCACGAAGTTGAACTCTGTGGTCTTTATATTTGTACTGTGTTGTTTTGTGGGTCTTTGTTTGGGGTCCCGGTACTTCCCAGTTTCTCAACAAAGGCCAATTATGTACATTAACCTTACTATCATCATATATATATATAAATATGCAGGGCTCCTCATCCTGTTTCTACTCAAAAAAAAAAAAAAGTAGGGAGTCAGAGGTTAGTTTGCCAGTTTAGTAATCATTAATCAAATGTAGATCGTTATATAACCTGCAAACTAATCATCTTATCCATATCTATAATATTGATTTTATACATCAAGAATCTGCCATACCATCAAAGATTCAGATGCGTAACTCTCAACTGAGCAAAATATGTATATACATGTATATATCTTTTTTAAACGAATATACTTTATCAAGAGAAGAAAAAAAAATTCTTATTTTTATTTTAACGAATAGACTTTATTAAGAGAAGAAATTAAATATAAGCACACGTTCGTGGTGAGGGAGAATTTTTTAAAATTATAGTAGAAAAGGCACTATCAATTTGATGATCAGTGACAACGTCAAAATTCAAACTGGTAGGCGAAAGATCAAGTATATATGGCTAACTAAGTATTTTGCATTCTCTTATAGTTTCACTTTTAAATTATTGCCTACATAATATACACACAAATTATTAGCCCTTTTATTAGGCAATAAATAATAATAACAACATAGTAAACCAATAGATATTATAGTTTCACTTGTAGTTTCCCCTTTTTATTATTGCCTACATAACATATATAAAAAATTATTAGCGCTTTTATTAGCCAATAATAATTAATGACAACAATATTTTTCCTTCTCATTTAATAACTTACTAACAAATCTAGTTTCCAGTAAGATGCAAAAGTTTTCATAATAATGTAAAAACCCACACTTGATTCATAACTTCGACCGTGACAAATACACATACAAATCTTTATTATCGACGGGTGCAAAAAGCACCCTGTACTTCATGCTTATTTACTCAATTCAAATCACGCCGATGACTAAGCCTTTCACCCGCCAGCGTACGTGCATTCCTCCTAATTGAACTGAGCCATGAGCTGCGCCACCACCTCATCGTCCACCTGAAACGCCCTCTTCAGCACCTCCTTCGACACCCTCGGGTTCGACCCGAACACCGCGTTGGCAATCGTAATCACTCCCGGATTCTGACTGCTCAGCGCCGACAGTGCCACCGCCGGCGTATGACCAAGATTCATCTGGAAGTGAATCATACCGAATGGGAACACGAAGACATCACCCTTCTGCAGAACTTTCTGGAAAAATCGGTTGGCGGGGTTGGACGCGATGAAGCCGACGTGGAGAGTGCCCTCGACGACGGTGAGGACCTCGGTGGCGCGAGGGTGCTTGTGGGGAGGGTTGAGGCCGCCGTAGGGGGCGTAGTCAATGCGGGCCAGAGAGATGCCGAGCGTGTTGAGGCCTGGGAAGGCGTCTGCGTTGACTTGGGTCACGTTAGAGCCGACGCGGTTGTTGGTGTTGCGGCGGAAGTCGTTGAGGAGTCCCCGGAAGAGGAAGTCCTCGGAGACTACAGTTTTCGGGTCTTTGCATACAAAGCCGTTGACGATTACTGCAACACAAAGAGGAGAGATCATCACTAACAAATTTGTATCACAAGAGTCGTAACCATTAATTCTAACATTAACAAATTTGTTTAGAGCAATGATCTAGTCAATATACCATCAAGGACAAAATATGAACTCCTCAGAGAGCTCCCTGTCATATCGAGGAACTTCTCTGGATGACCCCATCATCATCATCCTCACACACTCTTCCTGAGCTCGTCGATAAGGTAGGGGAAGGGCCACTCAAACCCACCCTCAGGAGCTAGAGGTGCCTCGTCGTTGCTGAATCCTTAGGCAGCTCCTTTACCTGTTGATGGGCCAATTCAATTGGGGGAGGCTAGGTCGTCTCCTCAGCTAAAGCCTTGTAAGGGAGTAAAATTGCTTCCCTGAAGGAGGAGATTTGTATTAATAAGAATTTCTTATTACGAATCAAGAAATCAAATTACAACTGAAGCGAAGAGAATGCTCTTCTTGTTTAACATGGGTTCTTTGGTAGCGATAAGACGCATCCCTCAAATGCTTGTATCAAGTTTGCTTCCCTTGGACGATCCGATCGAAACTGCGGTTGAGCTTCAGTATGCAGTAGAAGCTCTTATGTGATTGAGTTTGATTACTCGAGCTTATTGAGTATCAAGGCCGAATGCTTAGAGAAGGCTAATATGCAAGAGTTTGCAAAGAGCCAAGAGTCTCAAATCTGAGAGTTCAGATTAAGTCTACTTCAACAATCCAAGCTTTTGCTTGAAAATGTTACCAAATGTGGCTGATAAATAGGCAAGGAAAGACATGATCAATCCCTTGACTTGTAGGATGTGACCGCTCATAGGTGAGCAGCACCATACCCTTCCCTATAGCTATGGGATGTGACCACTATAGGTGATAAGAGCCATGCTTCATCACTCAGGATGTGGGACATGGGTAGGTCCACTCCCACAGGCAAGCAGCCGTTTGCACTGCTTAGGCGAGGTTGACAGACTTACAGGCAAGCTTGAGCGGTGTCTAAATGTTAGGTGAGCTTGCAAGTGAGCTTAGCGAACAGGTGGGGTCGGCTAGCGGACCCCTTAAGCATTGGGCAAGCTTGAGTCTTTAGGCGATCTTGGGTCATGCTGGCGAACTCCCTGCAAACGAGCTTGACTTGTGGAGGCAAGTGTAGCTTTCAGGCGAGCTCGTCTCACGTAGGCGAGCTTGTCTCATGCAAGCGAGTCAAGAAATTAGGCGAGCCTGACTCATGCAGGTGAGTCAAGCAATCAGGTGAGCTCAACTCGTGCGGGCGAGTCGAGAAATCAGGAGAGCTTGACTCGTGCTGCATTGCCAGGCAAACTTTGTGCTTGTAAGCGAGCTGGATGGCTATGGGCAAGGACCGAGTCTGGGCAGGAGAGCTCTTGACGTTGCTAGGCAAGCTTCATGCTTGTAGGCAAGCTAGATGGTTGCATGCGAGGCCCAAGTCTAT